AAAAATGGAATTGGAACGGTACAGAGAATTAAGATTAGCATGGCCCCTGCGCAAGTAAGGATGACACGCATAAATCGAGAAATGGTCCAGTGGGTTCGAAAAAAAAAGAGCAGAAACACTCCCAGGTCCCTACTGCAAGAGCTGATCTCTGGTTCCAAAGTTGCCACGTTGCACAGGTACCATGAGTGTTTCCCCACTAGCAGACTCTGAGGAGGTCTACTAAAAGGGGGGTGGTTAGAGAGGACTGGTATATCTACTATCCCCCTCTTGGAAGGTGTCTAGAACCCCAAGGGCAAGGCGTTCTTCTCTTTTGCCGGTAATAAGCAACCGGACTGCTGCCCCCCAGAATAGATGGGCCCTTTGTGCTATTAAAAAAAAAAAAAAAAAACAGTAACAAAGGAAGAAAAACACACGAAAATAGAGATCAGAGCAAAAATCAAAACAAGAGGCAGATCAAAGGGGAAAAAAAGGCTGAAAATGTGAATGCCTGCAATTGCCCTAAGGCTTGGCTATGTTGAAATTGGAGCAAGTCTGGGAATCTTCCCCGGTGACCTCGACATTATGCTCATGCCCACCAAGTGTTGTGGCCCAGCAGCCGCAGGGTAGGAGCGTAACTTCCGCCGTCCAGTAGAAGGGTATATGAATAATTTGTCCGGTCCACCTCGGTCCCGGGTACTATGCCCATTTTTTTATTTTTTATTTTAATAAAAGACGACGGCCTTGAGATATCATCATTAAGCTGACCGGCCCCAGCCAATTCAGTGAAATAGTCGGTTTTACAACTTTACTCATCAAGGGGTTCCATCATCTGGATTTGAACATGGGTCTGTGTTTTCAACAGTTCATGTGGGTGTACCCACTGAGCTAGGCTCTTGGGTATGCCCATAATTTTGGCTGGGGTTGTCCATAATTTTTGCATTCGGGTCGTTGGTTATAACTGCAATTTTGCGGTACCAACCTGGGTTCATCCCAACCTGGGCATGCGAATAATTTACACCCACCGTTTTTCAGGTATAGATGCAAGGTGGCAGCGGGACTGGGTATAGCGGGTATTTCCAACTTTAAGTGGGCTACGGATGCAATTTCCCCAACCCCCCCCCCCCCACCCAAAGAAAAAAAGAGTACAAAATGGAGAATGCATCTCCCGTCAGAAGGTCGAAGATACAGCTGGAGCATGGTCCCACTAGCAACCGGGATTGGATTAAGATCCTGAATCTGGGCGTGTTTTAGGAAGAGATGCAGAAAAGGAGTTCAACGTCGATTTTCTGCATTGTCCACAAACGCAGCCAGATTCAGGCATTCAATCCAATCCTCGCCCCTGTCATTGCTCTTGGTGAGTGCTGTGGCGAGGACCTTTTTTTTTTTTTTGGCGACGACCTTGAAAGATACACCTGCCATCCAGCGGCCTAGCTCAGTTGGTTAGGCATGCAAGTGGCATTCAGGAGGTTGTGGGTTCAAGCCCCATGGCCGCCTGCGGCGCACTGAGTGCCAACGGACTGTGATAGTCCTCTGGATACCCCTGATCGGTATTCGCGGGGTCTATGACCAACACGGGTGTGAGTGTGAGGGCGAGTGGGTTGTGTGTGGTGTGTGGGAGAGTGTTGGCCATAGCCTCTGCTGCTACTCGATGAAGGGCGGGGGACGGTGAGAAAGGGAGGCACAGCTACTGGCAGGTCTCGGTCTTTGTGTTAGCCAGAACCCCACTGGCGGCCCCAACCCTATACCCTAACCATTAGGGGCAAGGGGCAACATGAAATCTCCCCTTCACAGAGAGAGGAAAACTATGCTTGCAGGGGTCCCCTCTAGATAGTCTTAGGAGTAGGTAATGGAAGGTAAAAGCAACAGAATATGAGAGAAGAGTGAAGAAAGAACAAAGATACACCTGCCATGTTTTTGCTCTTAGCGAGTGCTGTGGCAAGGCCCTTATTCGGGAGCCTTAGGGCCAGATACGGATACCATGACGAGGCGTTGTGTGGAAGAAGAAGTGTAGTGGCAATGAGACCCAATTTGGACTTTAATAATAGGGAATATTTGTGTTATACCCCTCAAAGTTGACATCTATGCCAAAATGCCCCTAAAAGATGTGCGTAGAGCGGAATGCCCTTTTGGCCTGAATTCTTTGCGATATGCCCCTTTCAGGCCGGGCCGCAAATTTGCAATCTACACCTCTCCTTTGGGGCCTGGGCCTGGGCCTGCCCACTTTCTTACCCGTTTTTCCCTGCGTAGAGACAACTTCGCAGAATACCCTAGGCGAGCTAATCTCGGACTCTGAATTCAAACTTTCACGCTGGGTTCGCAAGTTCCGTCCTCAGGCTGGGAGCTTCTTCCATCTCCGACCTCGACCTCCTCCTCCTCCCTCGCCATTCCTCCAAGGTCTCCTCCCTCTGTGTGTGTGTCTGTGTGTTTGTGTGTGTGTGTGTGTGTGTGTGTGTGTGTGTGTGTGAGAGAGAGAGAGAGAGAA